AAGCATTCAAATCCCTGTTCTCCTGAAAGGCTGTGCTCACCTCCTTGTAAATAATAGCCTGCAGTTTGTTCTTAGTTTGTTGTTCAGGTACTGTTAACGTTAGCGCTGTTCAGCGCAGCACTCAGTAATCCTGACTGCCGAGGCTGTGCCAATCTCCATTCTATAGCTGGGGAAGCTGAAACAAAGAGAAGTCAGGCTGCTGGGTACCTCCTGAGCTGGTGTAAATCTAAGGCAGGATATGTATATGGACCTCTCACCATAACCAGCATTCTAATTTCTTCCTCAGATTTATGAATGAAGGTTTTGTTTTTGTTTTTTGTTTGTTTGGTTTGGTTTTTGTTCCCCGTCTCATCCATGCCCCTACCCCCACCCCCTAGGATTTCTCTGTGTAGCTTTGGAGCCTGTCCTGGAACTCACTCTGTAGACCAGGTTGGCCTCACAGAGACCCTGCCGGCCTCTAACTTCCAAGTGCTGGGATTAAAGGTGTGTGCTACCACTGCCTGGCTAGTTTGTATAATCTTATATTGGGGATTAGATGCTTATCTTTACATGGTATACCTTTCAGAAAACCCCTCATTACTTTCTTGGTCTATCCCTCTTAGAGGCAGAATTACAGTCTTAGGGTGAGATATTTTCAAGCCCTTCATATATATTATTAAATCCTAGCACCACTACTCAGCTTAGTACGAGGTAGGTACTCAGTAAATAATTGCTGAGTGAATTAATGCCTTCCCTAACAATTAATTCAGTATACGCCAGCAGGATATAGCTTGTACTGCCTTGTCTTGGTCAATCCTCATCATGACAGGAGTAATAATGTCGCATTTGTGCTTCTATTTCTCTGACAATGAAACACTCTATCTCGGTGAATAGCTAATTCGTAGTCCATAAGGTTAGGATACTTTTTTTTCCTTTTTTTAATTTGAATTAGAAACAAGATTGTTTTACATGTCAATTCCAGTTCTCACTCCCTCTCCTCCTCCCCTTAGGATAACTTTTAATAGATAAATGCCAACCAACTGGAAGCCAGAGCGTGCCAAAGGAGCAAGGAAAAAGGGCTACCATGTGTTCCCTATCCCTTTAAACCTTTACCACATCCTGAGGGGGCGTGGTTGGGCACACCTGTGGTTACAGTGTCTCCCTACAACACTCCATTACCTTTAAACAAAGAAATGGAGGAAAAGAGTTGGACCCTCCTTAAGTGACACATGATTCAGCCTTAATAGATTGCTGCTTGAAAGCACATTGAGATAAAAATGAGATGTTGATCTCATTTATTTAAAAGTTACATTTTCCATATTAAAAAGTTACATTCCAGTTGGTGGCGCACGCCTTTAATCCCAGCACTCGGTAGGCAGAGGCAGGCAGATCTCTGTGAGTTTGAGGCCAGCCTGGTCTCCAGAGCAAGTGCTAGGATAGGCTCCAAAGCTACACAGAAACCCTGTCTTGAAAAACCAAAAAAGAAGAAGAAGAAGAAGAAGAAGAAGAAGAAGAAGAAGAAGAAGAAGAAGAAGAAGAAGAAGAAGAAGAGGAAGAAGAAGAAGAAGAAGAAGAAGAAGAAGAAGAAGAAGAAGAAGAAGAAGAAGAAGAAGAAGGTTACATTCCCCATATCTCCCTCTACTGAGCATTGGCCCTAAAGGCACACTGTTGTTGTCACTAGGCTACTTAGGGTTAGGCAGCAATGTCTTTGAGCTTAAGCACTAAGTGCCATTTGACCTTTGCTATGATGTCAAATTGCAGTGGTAGTGAATCCACAAAGGAGCTTTGTTTCTATGGATGAAATAATAGAAATTTAGTGGAAACGAGAGTTAGAAATCTCTTTTCTGTGAGTTGTCAGATTATAATGTCAGATTTTTTTTTTTCTTTCTTCCAGACAGGGTTTCTCTGTGGCTTTGGAGGCTGTCCTGGAACTAGCTCTTGTAGACCAGGCTGGTCTCGAACTCACAAGAGATCCGCCTGCCTCTGCCTCCCAAGTGCTGGGATTAAAGGCATGGGCTACCAACTCCCGGCATAATGTCAGATTTTTGATGTGTGCAAATATAATAAGTACTTTTCCATCCTGTTCATTCCTATACACTTTCCACATAGGTATTTATTCAGTTTTACAGATGGAAAAGTGAGGTCTAGGGGTGTGAGTGACTTCTTCAAGGTCACACGGGCTTAAGTAAGTTACAGAACCTGAAGGTTCTAGTCGTCTGATCTAGGTTTAATTCCATGTTTATCCTGGAAAATTGTCATCTTGGGTTAAGGAAAGAAGGGTAGATTCCATGCTGAGAAGTTGATCTTCAAGTTTGATGGTTCTAAGTTTGAGGTTCTTGAAGTCCGAGAACCAAAGACTCTCAGAGTCTAAGAGTCCTGAATGCTCTTGGGATTTGAAGATCCTTGGGCTCAACTGAGAGCCAGGAGCCAAGCACAGAAGAAGGGAACTTTTTGTATCCGTTATTTTTTTTCCATCCTAGCTCTTAGAGCTTGTTGCTTGAGGGTTCTGGAGTCAAACACTGTGGGATCCAGTTATGAGGGTGGATGCATGCAGCACCTAGGTTCTCCTGAGAATCCATGTTCGAAACCTGAATCAGAATTTGGTTTAGAAGGTCTGGTCTAAGCCAGGCGTTGGTGGTGCACGCCTTTAGTCCTAGCAGAGGCAGGTGGATCTCTGTGAGTTCGAAGCCAGCCTTATCCACAGAGTGAGGTCCAGGACAGGCTCCGAAGCTACGGAGAGGAAACCCTGTCTCCAAAAACAAAAATAAAACAAACCAAAAAAAAAGGAGGAGGAGGAGGAAGAAAGAAAGAAAGGAAGGAAGAAAGAAAGGAAGGAAGGAAGGAAGGAAGGAAGGAAGGAAGGAAGGAAGACCAGCCTGGTCTACAAGAGCTAGTTCCAGGACAGCCTCCAAAGCCACAGAGAAACTCTGTCTCGAAAAACCAAAAAGAAAAAAAAAAGAAAGAAAGAAAGAAAGAAAGAAAGTCTGGTCTACATGCTCAGACTGAGGTTCTTCCCTGAAGGTGTTTTTATCATTTCCTAAGCCTTAAGGTCCGTGGGCAGAGAAGATGCCATAGGGAGCATTAGGATCTCAAGTCTGCCAATGTGAGTTTTCGAAGGGTTCATCTGAACAGCTCAATTCTGTTGGCTTCCAGGGCTCTAGATGCAGCGTCTAGATCTGAGAATTCCTGGCGGTGATGGTTTAGTTTTGTGCTCCTGGGTCCGAGGCCCGGCGCTCACGGTATTGGGCGTACGATGCAGCAGGAGGTGCCAAGACCACATGCGACACAAGGCCTCTGACTGCAGCCGCCTTGCCTTTCAAGAGCTCGCAGTCACGTACGGCGCTAGGACCCAGCGGGGTCGGGCGGGCAAATGGGCGTTGACAGCCATCGAGCTGAGACGACCGGCGTTAGGACC